AATGTTCAGTACGGAGGAAAGTGCTTACATATCCACGTGTCTTTTTGATGATGGAAAATATTGTCATTATCTGAAAATGTAAAAAAATCACAAAGCTCCTAAACAATCTTCAGAATGTTCTCATGAAAGTTAGGGGATCCTTCCTGTTATTATTTTACGTAACCATCTATCATATTTGTTAAAGTGCACTAACAGCTATTTTACATTTCGGTTTTCACTGAAACTGTTGTAAACTACTGTCATGAAAATACAGTAGACAAAAAGAAGCAGGCATATACACGTGAACGTCAACACAAATGGCGACCAGGGTTGTAGAGTTCACCTAGAAAATCTTGATGAGTCAAGCACCAAGCGTAGGCATACACAACTTCGCTAAAAGCACGAGGAAACGGGTTTTCAGGAGCAAGTGAGTAGTCGACCGATACGATAGGACAGTCCAGTTCCTTCGCCCAGTACTTGAGGTAAGTCTAAACGATCGTATGAGTTACTAGTACGGACAGGAGTATATAGCTCACATCGAAACAGGCAAAAAACATAAGAATAGGAAGAGTGTTTGACGTTAAATCAATCGATCGAGAAAAAAGACTGGGAAAAGCTTCAGCTGTGAGTTAACTTGCAAAACAAGCTAAATGGAATCACGTACCTCATGAGTCTTTGAAGAAGTTGCAACAAATCCGCCGCCGTGACAATGAAACACCAACTTCTGAGATTTTGGGAATGTTGGGTCAGCGTTTTTACCAAGCTGAAAAGAAATTAAACATAACTGAAGAAGAATCCCATTAATTTAAAATCAAATTCAACGCCAGTAATTTGTGAATCATAACATTATACAATCGAGCTATAAAAACCATTAACCCCCCCCCTAGGGCAGTACATTAGCAGATGCAGGATAAAACTGATTTCACAGATTTTAAGGCAGCTTGCCCTGCAGCTGAGAACACAGACTTAACAGCGCATAACCGTAACTTGATCAGTAAATAGTCTAGAATACCATGTTCAACATGTTTCTAAGAACGACAGATTTTTAACTTATGTTGCGGCTCTCTTTATGAATCTATTCATCCATTGGCGTCTCATTCACTCTACAAAACTTTAACCGGGCAAAACGAAATGTGGAATATCGATAAGGCAGCTAGAAAGGGTGACTGCCATGCAATGTTCCAAGGAGTACGAAAGCTGTCTGGAAAGAAGAGAACTCTCTCCGACCTTATCAAAGAGTTGAATCGTGCCCCACTAGCAGATAGGAAAAAACGCCTTAAACGATAAGCTGAGCATTTCTAATCACCATTCAATAGCTGTCTTTCAGACATTATTCTTCCCTTCCCGCGTTCCTGGCAAGAACTCTGAGAGAGCTATAGCTGCAAGCCACTTGTACATAAGATTCTGATTAGCCATTAACCTCCTGTGTACATACATTTCATGGGCCTATAAAATCCTAGAACTACGCACGCATTATGCTTGAGCCAGCGTAAACGCCCCAAAAACTAGAAATCTAAAAGACCTAGCTGCATCTCAGAGTGAAGAAGGCTTGTGATATGGATGAAATTCTTCCAGAGTAAATTAAATATGGTCGAATGAGAGTGTTAGAAAAGCTCCATACCTTATTTCATAAAATGTGAATCTCAAAAGTTTCCCTGACGAATGGAAGCATAGTGTAATTCTCTCAGTATATAAATGGGGGCGGGTAATCGATGCTTTGACTGTCGTGATATTACCCTATTGTTTACTCTCGCAAACTGTTATCTCTGATTATCTTGAAACGATTGAGGCAATCAGCTGATAGAAGACTCCATCGAAATTAAGCAGATTTTTGAACGGGGTGTTCATTCGTCTACGCTCTTCTTATAATCATCGAGTAACACCGACGATTTCAGCTTCCTTGGACTGCCAGTTTCCTCGACTTTAAAGATGCCCCTGATTCAATACATCGCTCAACGATGTAGATGTAAAAAATCTTAAAATAAGGTGGGATATTTAAACACCTCGCTTCCATAATGGACGATATGCAAGCAGGAACCATGTTCACAGCCAAAGTTGAAGGAAAGCAACCTGGGTGACTCACTATTAACTGTAGAGTTCGGCACATGGTTGTGCTTACGCCTTTGCTATTCAGCACTGTTCTCGACTTTTTTCTCCTAAACAGTGGTGACCGTAGCAATATGATGAAGTACGCATTATAGATGGAAGGTGCATTTCAAGATATCTGGCTAGAATGTGCAGATGATAGAGTCTTATCTTGATGAGTAGTAAGGGGAACAGGTTCTATCACCCGAGTGCCTCCATTTCCAACACAGCTGTGAAAACTGACCCCTATCATAATGCCCGGAATTCTGAACTTATACAGAATTCATCAAATACAGCCGATCTAGTAGTACTTCTGAGAGGGGAAGCCATAGTGGCGGTCGGACAAATCTGGAATAACAATGTTCAATGATCTCCGATGATACCACTCTTTAATCAGTATTGAATAAAAGGATCGCCCTCACATCCAACACTTTTGCTAACTTATCGAATATTTAACCTGGAAAATGGGTAGCATCTTTCACAAAAATCCGCCTGTACCTCGCCTCTGCCAGATCAGTACCATGCATAGGATGGAGACAGTTTCAACGAAGCGGCAAAAAAGATGGTTGAACTGCCTGAGCAACATTGAGTTCGACG